CAATACGAGAGAGAGAGAGAGAGTACGAGAGAGAGAGAGAGAGAGAGAGAGAGAGAGAGAGAGAGAGAGAGGAGAGGAGAGGAAAGGAGGGGAAAGGAGAGAAGGGGGGGGTAGGGGAGAGAGGAGAGGACAGGACAGGACAGGAGAGAGGACAGGAGAGGAGAGGAGGTGAAAACGGTACTGACGAGATGAATTGAGATAGAAGGTGAGGTGAGGAGGTGAGAAAAAGCGATGGGAAGGGATGGAAAGAAAACGAGAGGAGAAGACAAGAGAAACGGATTAAACGGAACGAGAGGAGACAAGAAGAGCAGACGGAGAGGCAGACGAAACTACCTCGCTGGGGCGCTTTCCATGCTGCAGGGAGCAGAGGAATTGGAAGGCTCTTCAACAACATTCAGCGCACAAGGATACCAAAGAGACTCTCAAGACCTGGGGATCGTTGGCGGCGGCGCGTCCTCAGAAGCCCGGCAGTACCTCACGCACTGATCCTTGAGCCTGCGCCCGCCACGTCATCCCACCATGGTGAGAACAGCGCGTTCGCTTCCTCTCGTCGAGGAGGAGCTCCCTGAGCTTCTTGGTGGTCGCATAGCAGTTGCTGGAGGAGGCGTCAGCTGGAGCAGCAGGACCTGCCGTCCCTTCACTTGAGTCTAATCTTGTCGATCATTCGCACGACCTCCATCTCCCTCTGCAGCAGCCACGAGACCTGGTGCCATGTCACTGCCCTCGGAGAGGCGAGGAGCGGTGGATACCTTAGCAAGGACAAACTCCAGCTCCATCTCCGACTTGATCGAGATCGTCATGATGTCGCTGACGCCTGCCAGCAGGTCGATCAGTCGATCAGCGACTCTCCTCGCAGCCCGAGGCAAGAGCAAGGGAGGGTTGCTGCTGCTACCGTCAAAGAAGGAGACGAGCTTGAGGAGAAGAGGATCGGCAAGTTTGATCGAATCTTTCGATGCTACCCAGACCTTGAAAGATTTCGTCATGGTCATCGTCCCATCAGACTCCGTCCTTCACCGGAACTTCGTGTGGTCTGACTTCAGGTATAGACGCTCGCGGCAGACACTGCTTGTAGATCAGGAAAAGAACGATTGAATTCGAAGATCATCTCAATGAAAATCTCCGTCATCTCCATCATCTCCATCATCTCCATCATCTCCACCATCATCTCCATCATCATCATCATCATCATCATCATCATCATCATCATCATCATCATCATCTCCATCATCATCTCCATCATCATCATCATCTTCATCATCTTCGCTGTCGTCATCGCTGTCGTTTCGTCTTTGCGGTTACCGACGCCTTTCATCTTGCATGCTCACAATGACAGGCACAATCTGACCTGCTGCAGTCGAATGGGCTCAGGATTGTTCTTAGGAAAATAAGGAATGTCGGATACACCTGAAGCCATGTAAGACAAGTGAAAAATGTGCGAGGAGAGAAGAACAGAAAGCAGGAATCAGAGAAGAGAAGGGCGAAGGAGAAGAGATGGGAGAGTAGGGAAAGAAGATTGGCAGAGGAGCAGGAGGAAGTGTTGAAGAGAAGAGATGAAAGAGAGGAGATAATAGTGTTGGTTAGGGGGGGCTCAACAAAACATCAAAGTCTTCGCAAGGCAACCAGTTGGCGGCATAGAGAATTGTCCCAGTGTGTTGATATCATGAATAATCCCCTGGATGATTGCCTGCGTTTGCTCGTGGTTGCTCTGAGACGATAGGAAGCGATGCTGAAAAGTTTGGTAGGCGTAAGTTGAGGACGAGGAGGAGGGGAAGAAGCGGACGTGGACGTGGGTGGAGAAGGAAGGAGGAAGGGAGGCGGGAGAAGTGGCCAGACGGGGTGGAGGAGGCATATCAGGAGGGGATACGAGGAGAGGGAGGAAAAAGAGAGGAAGGAACAGGAGGAGCAGAGGGAGGGAGGAGAGGGAGGAGGAGAAGGAGGAGGAGGGCGATGAAGCGAAACATTCACCTGTGTCTCCATTAGCCGAAAGTCGGAGGCGACTTGCTTGACAATGGGCTGGTAGGCGCTGACGTCGGTGGTCGCATCGAACACGAAGCAAACGTTGAACATGAACTACAACCATGGTCAGAAACGCCGAGGGAGGGAGGGAGGGAGGGAGAGGGAAGGAGGGGAAGGGGGAGGGAGCTGGGAGAGGAAGGAGTAGGTGTGTGTGAGAAGGTGGGGAGTCGGGGCGGGAGGTGTGCATGACTGGGAGGGGGAGGAAGGGTAAAGAAGTGGGAGGAAATGGAGGGGAAAGGGAGGAAGAGGAGGAGGGAGAGGAGGAGGGAACGCGCTCCCTCTGCCATGAGGCACCTGGTTCCTCTCGTAGTGCTCGTCTCGGATGTGCTCGGGGTGGCCGACGAAGCGCAGACCGAAGGCAGTGACGCTGATGAGATGGCCGCAGAGCTCGCTGGAGGCGATGAGATGGTCGGAGAGATAGTCGCACGTGTCTGCGCTGACCAGGTTCTCCGGCGCCTGGAAGACAGGGCGGGGTCCCCTGTGGGGGTCGAATTCGCAGTAGAGGATGCACCTCAGCCATGCTGGCAGCGGGAGTGAGTGAGCAGCGGGTTGAATGCGGGGCGGGGCGGGGAGGGGAGGGGAGAGGAGGAGCAGGGCAGCGAAGGGCAGAGCAGTGGAGGGCAGGAGAGGAGGGGGCATGTGGAGAATCGGGGAGACAGGGCAAGAGGAGGAGAGGATGGGGTGAAAGCCATTGCCGCGCGCGGTGAGGTTACTCTACTGGGGCCTACAATCATTCAGCCCTCCAGTTTCCTCGTGTTGCACACTCTGCCTTTGAAATGCAGTAGAAGAAAGAAGTGCAGGTATTGGAGCATAACCACCAACCTTCCGTTGCAAGGAATGATCCAAGGCTAAACTTCTATGGACATCAATCACCATCGCTTTCACCCAAGCAGCAAGAAATATGCTAAGGTGTTGCATGATTGTAGTCCACAGAGGCAACCAAAGGGCAGAAACGTGTCGTCTACCGTATCTGACTTCACTTCGACCAGACGAGGCGCAGCAAGCCGCCGATTGTCGGCAGGAGTCCAACAGACAGGAAGTACATAACAGAAACAGCAACGAGGCCAAATCCAAAGAAATTCGCCAGAACCTGAAACATGGAGATACTCTTGTACTTGTAGACTTCGCCAGGGAAATGACCGTGCTGCTTGAAGTGAGTGAGAAGCTTGTCCTTCTCCTCAAACACCTTCATCATCCAATCTTGCACTGCTTCAGTCTCCTCCGGGA